ATATATATATATATATATATATATATATATATATATATATATATATATATATATATATATATATATATATAATACCAAAAAATTACAAAAGTACACAATACAAGATCAAAAGTATAATTGAATCAAACAAAATTGAAATCAAGACAATTAAAAATACAATCGAATCAATCGAAACTTCAAAATCATAATTACAAGACCACGGGACCTAATTGAAAAAAAAATTGAAAAGTACAAAGACTACATTGCTACACCCGAAGGATACAATTGAGATTAAATTTCATTAACGGGGATCTAAATTGATTCAAGATCCCGTTGATAGGACCAATTCAAACACTCCAAGCAATCGATTGTCCGAATTCCTCCAACAAAAATTCAGCTTGCCGGTTCTTGCATTCTACCATCCTTGGCCTTGTTTCATCTTCATCGGTGAAGATAACAAGCTAGAACGGACAAGGATGCCAACTCCCTCTACTTATATTGTAATTCCCATTAGAGAATTATAGTGTACATCCTCTTATCACGTTACACCCGCAAAATAAGCCAAACCAAGTGCGCAAATGACAAACAAGCAACATACACATTTTGCTCTGTCCATGCGAGCCAAAATTGACGAGCATGTAGGATGGTTGTTGGCTTATGAAAGAAGCGAGAATTGATCCTAGGGTAAGGAGGCTCTCTCGAGTATAAACGGGGGTAGAATTTAGGGTTTTGGGAAGGAAAAAAAGAATTGAAAAGGGGTATAGCAATTGTTTTGTAATAAAATTGAAAGCATATAGTGAGAAAAAGAAATGAGAGAGAAATTAAAGCAAAAATAAACAACAAAGGAGTGAGAGAGCTTAACCAAACAATCCGAAGATGGAGAAATTGAACCAGCTAGACCTAAGCAAATCCTGCAGTTCGATGTCTAGAACAACCTCGCCACTCGAATTGGACATTCTTTGTCTCTACCCCATCTATTCAAGCTCTAGGTAAGAACTTCTTCAAAATCATGTTTTCCATTCATACTAATGTAATTACGGGACCTTGAATGAGGAATGGCAGTAATCCTCTTAACTCCCATTCCATAGTAGCCTTTTCCTTTAGTTTCCATTTCACCCACCCTATAGAAGTCTTTATCGATCGTGCCTTCACACACATGCACGATCGGTTTAGTGACTAAAAAGGGTTCCTTGGCAAATCATGGGGTTTAGGGATTTGTTGATATAGGAAGATTTAAATGAAACAAGACTTAGGGTTTTCCGAGAGCTTTTACGAAAAAAAAAAAAAGTGAGAGGAAAGGAAATTTAGAGGACTCGTTAGGATCCTTTTTTTGTGAAATCGAGGAAGAGATCAATCAATCAATCTCAATGAGTAACATAAAAGGTATGACCTAGGTTTCTATAATAACCCATCCTAAAATGATGTTTAAGTTAGTAATTTTTTTAAAAAAAAAAATCGAGCGACATATAAAAACCCATTTTCTTTCTTTTTCCCCTTCTTTCTCACGCAAACTCTCCCCATTTCCTCCCATTTCCCTCCTCCAATTTCTAAGTTAAAACCTTGCCCAATTAACCTAGAAAAAATCATAAAAACAAGTTTATTAAAGTGAAGTTTTGCTAGATTAAAGTTTGGGAGGCTTAAAGAGTTTGGGATTAAAATTAGGGTAGAAGAGTCAATTGTCGAAGGTAAGAATCCTTGTTATTTGGTATTTAATTGGAGATATTTATATGTGTTTATTGGTGATTTTGAAGTTAATTTGTATTGAGTTGGTTGTTAGAAAGAAGAATTGAGTTAGATTAGTGTTAGGGTTTTAAGATCCATTTGGAAAAAAGTTGATTAAGCAATTCTAATTGATTAAATGATGTTTAATTGTTTTAGGTTAGTAATTTATGAAGTTGAATTGAGTAAATTTGATTAATCTAAGAGGTTGCAGAGGTAGATTTCTTGAAATCCATGTAGATTAAGTGAACAATCACATAAAACAAGCAAGACCAAAACTATAAATATGAGGATGAAGACGATACTAGAAACCCTTAGAGTTAGGGAAAATGAGAGAGCGCAAATGAGATTAATAAGGTTGCAAATAGATAGATGTCATTTTAAATACGAGCACGACAATATAATTGAATAAGAGACGAAGAGACTTAATACAACAGATAGAATTCCAAGCATCTGTTATACTTTGAAAACTAAAAAGAATGGGTAGTTAGGGGTAAAAAGAATTATGGATAGATACGTGGAAATGTCGTCCTAATAAATAAAAAAACCAGCCAACAAGAAAACAACCAAAGAGTAATAGCAATTTAGCTGCAAAAAAGACACGATCTAGTAGTTGGAGAGACAAGAATTTTGCAACCTGTATTTCTTAATTCATTAGTTGTTAAATTTCAGATTTTGAAGTTTGAGTGCATGATTTGGTTTACAAGTTAGCTTAGAGAAGTAGAATTATTAATTTGAGAGAGCCGTTGTTGTAAGTAATAGTAGTATATTTAGATTATTTAATTGAATTCATTTATTTTTAAGTTTAGAAATTAGATTGTCTTATAGATTATCATCTAACTATCTTTCGTATATGTGTTTTATTTATTTTTTTTAGTTGAAGGAGACACAATAACTCACAAAACATAAGATTAATGTCTATAGATTAGATTATTCTTGACAAGATCATAGATTTTAACTAAAATACTTGACACGTGGTTTACCATCAATCTTTTGAAATTGACAACCATTAACGAAACCGTGGTTGAGTAGCAACTAGGGTCGCCTGCTGATCAGATGAATTCTCCTAGTCTCACTTATATTGGAGAGGTGTAAGTGCCATCAGCTGTAGTTGCTTCACTAACGTCACTATTCTCAGCAACTCGTTTTTCACCTTCAAATCCTAGCAGCTGGTGACTCAATGCTAGTTCATTATCGCGAATGAAGGTTTATCTGACAAAGAATGAACTCCATACATTTATGCTGCTTACCAATGCCAAGGAATTTCTCTCCAATCAAAACAACATCGTCAACTCCCAACATCAAAAATTGCAAAAGCAAAACATAAAAACAACAAAACAAACACAATTTAAAACATCTACTGATTACAACATCATGAATCGATTTATCTACACTAGACCTTCAAACGAGTCCAATTGGCAACTATAGAATCATCCTTAAGGATTCTAACTCCGCCAACACAGACAAATATTTGCCTTGCAGAGATAATGAAGATACACACAATGAAGAGTGTCAAATTGACACGAATAGAAGCTAGATCCAAAGTGGGCAAGCCTTGAATTTCCTTCAAAATAGTGTGGGTTGATTGTAATGCAATGTTATTGAGTAAATTATAAATTAGTCTTTTCAATTTCCATAAATTAATTAATTAATTCTTCTTGTCTTAAAAAATAATTGTTTAATCTTTATTTTTTAAAATCTACTTATAAAAATATATTTTGTAAAATAAAAATAATATTAAATTAAACATAATTAAAACTAGTCAAAAGACTAAATAATAATTTTCGAAAGAGACTATTAATTTATTTCTCGAAAATAAAGAGTTATTTATAACTTACTCAATTATTGTTAAACAAAAAAGGGACACCCATTATTGGATAACGGAAACCAGAGGCAGTAATTGAAGAGAGCAAGTCCTTGCTGTTATTGATGATGTTGGTAATAAAAGGCAGCAACTTGAAGAAGAGGAGAAGAGATCAAATCGTGTAGAGAAGGGGGGCGATTCACCATTTGGATAATGAACAGAAAGTTTAGCCATATTGAAGATAGACTCTGCAGACACATTGCCCAAAGAAACAAACAGATTTTTATCGACACTAGACACGAATACAGAAAGAGAGAGAATTCTTCTTTGCGTTTTGGCTTGGTTCTAGCATGCACAAACAGAAACTTTTGTTCTCCATCTGTGCTCCTCTTTTATAAATATAAGCAATAAGCGTATTAAAATAATGTTTTTTTTTATTATTATTTATTTACAAATGAAATTTTTGGTGTTGGGATTTGATGGTGTTCCTCTGATTAAAGCGTCTGTTAATGGGAAAGATGCGGATTGATCTGTATTCTGTTTGCATACGGTGGAGATAGGAGAGAGGAAGAATTAAAAGGACAAAAAAAAACTAAACAAAACTAGATTTAGATAAATAAAAATGACTCGTTTTTTTAATCGAAATACACCTAACTAAAATACAAATAAATAATAATAAAATATGCAGATAATGTGATTTTAAATTATTTTTTTACAATTCAATTAGAGGCATTTAAAAAAAAAAATTGTTTATAGTCAGAAAAATTAATCAAAAAATCATGCTGAACATAATAAATACAATTAGAAATCTAAAGACAAATTAAAAACTCAAACTATTATATAAAAGCAGATTAGCCTTTACTCTCATGATAATAATAATAATAGAAGAGATCCAAAACAAGGTTATCACAATCGAAGACAAACTTCATTCGCATAAACTTTTCACATTAATGCTGGGACCACCTGTATTTTAGAACGGAAGTCATTGTAAAAAGTTCCCAAGTATCCTAGAATTACTGGTATTCTAAATATATCTGATAATTGCAAACAAGAATCTCAGAAAGTACAATAAAATGTTCCAAAAACAGAATACCAAACCTTTCAACAAACAGGATGCATCATTGCGTACATAAATAAATAACTGGATCATGTATGAGACTCTGGGTACAAGACTTCATGGTTATTTACTAATAATTGTAGCGCACAATGAATGTAAGTATCTTCATAAGAAAAAAGACGCGGGGACATTCACCGTCCGTCAGATGCAAACCTCTTAATTATCACGTAGAGGCACAAATGGAAGTTGGAACACTTCTGCAACATGGGATACTCCACAGTTGAATCATCAAAAATAATATCCAATATAAGAACTGTAAATAAGAAAAGAAAACTCGGATGATGGATATCTAGCTCCTGATCTAAATGCCATAATACACAATCAAATCCATTGTTATACACATCTATCACATACATGGAGGACAATGGCGAAAATTCTGTCTCAATGCTCCATCAAGGCAGTTTCAGTTTCTGACAGTGGAGCTGAAATAAAATTAAACAAACTTCAAATCAATAACATGTCTCAGCCAACAAAATATCCCACAAGAAATTAAACAAATATGAAAGAAGTAAAAGCAAAAACTTGTGGATTGAGGGGGAAGATGCTTCTGTAAAGATGCTGCTTTTCCCCATAATTAGCAACATTAAGGCTGTTCTCATGAGCAAGATATACAGCCTTAGATTCATAGAGAGTGAGAGAACAGCCACGTTAAAAAAGGTGACACTTTTTAAATACAAGTCTTTACTCCTAATACTTGTAAAAGGATCTCTAAACCTTTCAGAGAAAATGAGGGTCTGCAGTTGGTAGATCCTAATTAACAACACAAGCTTTACCTAGCTTTTAAATAGAACACTATCTCAAAAAAAAAAAAAATTATAGTTGCAACATGGAAACCAAGTGTAAGCATAATTAATCTTAGATCTTAAAAATAAAGCAAGAATGGAATATTGGATTGCTGACCATATGGAAAACATGACACATGCTAGCTTAGCAGAAACAAACACACGGTTTGAGTTTGAAGCTCTGAAATTATCATAGTTGATGGCATATTAAACACAAAGTGCATCTAGTAAATCATTAAACAATATCATCATAAGCAGATAATTAACAAACATATAGATGCCTACAACAACAGGAGCATTTCACACAAGGCAACATACCAAGCAAATCCTCGTATGAATCTGGTAAAAGGGATGTGTCTAACAGCAAAGGAGGCGAGAAAACTTGATCATGAGGTTCTGCAATGTCAAAAAAGGACCTCTGACCATCAGACAATGCACCATTTGAGCCAGCAGCGGAGAGGAAGCCATTTACATGGTCATAGTCAGTAAGTGAATCTGAATCATTTAAAGTTTCAGGGAACTCCTTGTGCTTGCTTCCAGCATGGCCATCTCGAGCATGTTTCTCAACCAAGGCAGTGCTCATTTGAGATGCAGAAAATCTTTTACTTCTTGTTAAGACCACTTTGTTTTCTGGGACCATAGAAAATCCAGGCAATGAAAGAGGTAAAAAGAAGTGCTCAGAACTTTCATCAGACTGACTGTCCCGAGATGATTCTGAATTGCAGGATTGCATAGACAGAGCAGCTTCTCTTACAGATCTCTTTAAGCTTTGAACATAAGAATTATCTCCGTCTACAAATACAAATTCAAGAATCAAAAACTCCAACTAAAAGCTTTCAAAAACTGAAATTCTTTTTACTCGTAACTGCAAGGGCCTTCAGCAAGCCAACAACTGTGATACACATGCAGAAGGGACAAACCAGGCAGCAGAGAGAAGTAGCAAACCTTGCAATGGATTATCTACATGATTATTTGATAAAGGCTGGTCCAGAGAGTTTCTTTCAGATAGATTTTCCATTTGGACGGTTTGGGGAACTAACATTTGTCTCTTCTGCAAGTTTGCAACTTTTCCAGAAGAATTTGGGGTCAAACTGAATAACTGTGGTAGCTTTAAAGCAGGAGGACTAGCAGATACTTTGTCAAGCTGAACCGTGGAAATTTTTGAAGTCACTTCCACAACATCATCGGAGCTACTTTCCTAACAGTTCAAGAATAACAAGCTCAGCTTTGCATAATGAATTATTTAAGATTGGGCATAATATCTTGCATGAACTTAACATTCATAAAAATTACCGTGGTCCTTCCACTGCTTTGAGCTTGTATAGGCGAAGTTGCTCGACCGCGATGCTTTGCCATTGGTGGCTGGCAAGAAATATTATTTACTTTCTCTGTACAGTCTGATATTGAATTTTGTATTGTTGGAACAACTTCATTAAGTTGGTCAATAAGCCCCTGTGAAAAAAGTATCAGAATGGAAAAATCCTCAACATGGCCACTGGTAAGTATGAAAGCCCAGTGATCCAAAGAACATAATGCAAGTCACAAATGATAAATAAGCAATCTACTACCATCCCTCTTCCAAGTTACGATGGCAGAACCAGAAAACTCTAGGAGGGTTTAAGCGACAAATACAGGGAAGCAATTGCATCCATGCTTTCAGGTTTTGGAAGTTAATCTACTATAACCTCCTTTAACCACTCTGTGTGCAACTAGCATCAACTCCTCAGATCTTGAACCAAACCATGAAGGGGTACTGATCATTATGAACGTAATATTACATTTAAGGAAGAATAATCAACTATTTTGTTATCAATGCACATCACAATGGAATAAAAAACATGCACAGAAATAGCCAACATGTCCAAAGGTTTTAGCCCAAAATCAAGCTGAAACTCAAATTTGCAGTACTTCAGTGCTTACCGGAAGCTCACATCTGGTGCAGAAAGATTATTTCATACCTGAAAACTAGCCAGGTGTTGCTGATGTTCTGAAAGAGTTGCAGCTAAAGATTCAGCATGGCCACTAGTACCACCATCGAGTGCACTTCTTAATATATCTGGACCTTCTCCATCATTAGCTTTTGCCTACAAAACAATTGTTGCATAATAGCAGTTCACTACATCATCAATGATGATTTACAAGCAAAATCCAATCAACAACTTATAAGTTCTTGGATTGAAAATGCATGGACTTCTCTAACTCATTAATTCTACTGTCGCACATCTGCTTTGTCCTTTTCCTGTTTTAAGACATTTTAATGGGATGAATTAATTTTGATCATCATTTTCCAGAACAAACATTCTTCTCTGCAGCAATATTCTTATCAAAGACCATTTTGTCGAATTGTAAAATAATATTTGGAAAAAACCAAGCGGACAAAACATTAGGAATGCTCAAACAAAGAGTAGAGGAAATATCTGCTTCTCATGTATAAATACTACACCATTAGAGGCGAGTTCTCACAAAAAGACACTGTTCTGTATAATATAAGTATTTGATCTACAAATAAAATAAGAGAATCCTTGTATAAAAAGAAAGAAAGAAGAAAGAAAGAAAGAGAAACCATTGAAAATGAAAAAAAAATAATAATAAAGTAAAAACATCTAATAACAAAATCCCTTGCATGAAAGAGCCATCTAGAGCAAAATCTCCATAATTCGAGATTACTTATAATGATGCCATCCAAGAATGACAATTTGTATTCTTTTCCAAATCTCCATGCTCTTCCAACTCACTCAAAACCAAACACCTTGATCAATTGTGTACAAGTAAATCACAGAATAATCAGGTTGTGTCCATGTTGTAAAGAAAAGTAAACTCAAATTAAGTATTGCACAGATATTTATAGCCTCAAAACTTTGAAATACCAAATTTTTTAATCATATCCCGTATAGAAATTAATCATTAGCATGTAAGAAATGGAAGGCCTTGGATTGGTGTGCAGAAAGAATCAATCTTTGCATATTACCAATTAAATAAAGTAGCTTATGGCCAGACAAAGAAATAGCATACCAGATGAAGCGACTGTTTATGAATACGTTGCAATGCATGTGTCCAACGCCGTATGATTTCTGCTACATCAACAGTGGGCTGGACTCTTCCACCTCTATCATCCACTCGAGAATGTATCTCGTCATTTACTTGCAGATGGGACGAATCCAAACTGTTCTTTGACTTTTCCCTATTTAAGTTAACATAAGAACTATCACTATGTTCTTTGTCATCTGAATGTTTATCTGAATAAGAAACCTGAGAGCTCTGGTCCATAGCAGAGAGCAAAGATGATCCAGATATGCGGTATCTGTAACCGAATATTATAAAAGAGGAATCAGATAAATGGCATCTTCAGAACCTAGCAAAATATCTGATCTTAAATTACCTATGCTCCCGATGAGCTATCAGGTCCTCAATTGGCCCTGAAGCAAGAACTTCATGTTGGCCTGTAAATAAGGAAATAACAATGAGAAGAAACTCAACAAAGTTATAGGAATAATGGGAAAAGTAGCAGCATTATTGCCTATAAAAAGGGAAAAGATATCAGCATCAAATTTTAGGAAGCATTCAAATTATGAGCAGTCAACAAAATATGCATCAAGTGATCACACATATTTTGGGTGATAGTCCATATACGCTTCAGATCCCATCCCAACAATTTTTTTCTCTGGCTTTTACACATTGGACCAATGTTATTGAGAATGCCCATGCTAATCCAGAATCGGCATTTAAAATAAAATCTTTCTAGGAAGTCCAAGTTATGCCTGGTAGACTTGGATAAATTACTTTTGAAGCACCTAAATAAGAAGACACAAGTTCCAAAAGCGCATTACCGTCTTTCTGATCATCGCCAAATCTACTAGCACTAAGAATATTTTCAGAAAGCAAGCCTCAAAATCATTAGATGGGATTAAGATAACATGGCAGTCTATTTATTTACCTAAAAATTTGCAGGTCAAGCCATAGAGGAATGACAAGCTCGAGAGTGCACGTTTCAAAGCACAAGTATCATGTCCATGGTAACTACATGTCATCGTGGTATGCGTCCAAATGTAAGTACTGAGTATCATCATGATAACAGAGGAATACAGAAAATAAGTAAATAAATAAACATTTGTTTTGGCTAAACTCACCATCAAATGAAATAAATTAGATGGTAACCACTCTTGTAAACAAAGGAAAGAATTTAATTGAAGGAAATTCATTCCAAAAGAAAATTGACCCACTCAGTTATGGTGTTATTTCTAAGAAAATCCTCATTTATTCATTCAAACAAATAAAATGGTTCAGATTTTACAAGTAATAAAAAAGAAAACTTTGATAGTTTTGACTTACTTTTACGAGCTAGTATAGAATCCCACAAGCGAGTAGCCTTTGAAACTAAATGTGAATTCTGGCTAGAACTCGATACAAGATCATCCCACAGTTCACCTTCTAACTTCACTTTGTTCCGCAAGTCATGCAGTTTTTCCAACTCTTGCTGCAAATAAGCCTGACATTCGGGTTTTCAATAGGAAAGTGTGAGGAAAACGCGCAGCTGCATCCTAAATCCTTCAAAAGAAACTAAATGAGCTTCCCATTACCTCTTCAGCACAAAGACCACGAAACTCTGCAGTCATCTCATGAGCCAAATTTGACCACATAGCCTGTCTCTGTACTGCAGTTTCTGCATTTTTAAGGAACCTCCTTCTTTCAAGGGCTATTCTTGCCTGTTCAAGGAGAGAGTTTCAAATCACTGCTACCAAAAGTTGAAGTATAGTTGTAATTGAATGTGTCAAAAGAGAGAGTACAGGGGACAGACCAGAAGGACAAAAAAAAGCAGTCCTTTCTTAAAATCTTTTCAACATTTGAATTGTTCACAGTAACATGCAAGGTTTAGAAAAGCAACCCTGAGTAGTTCATATGGATAATAACTTATGATACAGGTAATTCTCCCAAAAAGGAAACTAAGAAATGAAACTACAGAAAAATGAATATTATCTTCCCATTTATATCCAAAATGGTAGATTATAATACTAACACATGTCACTCTAAAAGAAGAAAGAGTGTGTAACTTGGAAATTTCAGAGGTTAAGTCATTTATGTTGTCATTTCACTTCGTCTCCACCTTTGAGATCAACTTCCAAGAAAGTTACCCTTTCCATTGTTTCCTGTGTGAGGAAACCAAATAAGATCTCACCTCTTCAACTCTGTTCTTTTTACAAAAATTGGGTCCTGTAGAAGAGCTATAAGAAGCTTCTTAGAAAATCCTTCCCAAATTCCGATCCACTTATAGTTACAGTTTAACAATGGACATTTCAACTTTTCAGAAGTGTGCTTTGATGTCAGTGCATTTTAGGATCGCTATAGAAATGAAAGCACAATAACCATGCATGTATTGCCTGATTGAAAACAACTTTGTACGTTGATTTATAGAATTTAATCACAATTTCAAACATCCACTTGTCGTTGACTGAGAATGACATGTGCTTTGATAACTTGTTACATGGATAAAAAGGAACATGAAAATAATATTACCTTTGTCACAGGAAGCAATGTAGCTGCATGTTGGAAGGCTACGTCTGTTAATGAAGCAGGAAGTGGGTTTGAAGCCACATCAGCTGCAAATGTCCGCCTGTGAACCTCTCTCAAAGCATGCAAAGAAAGTTGCCACAAAAGTTCAACAAATCTGGATATACACGAGAAACTTTAGCATTAAATCAAAAAACTAAATTCATCAAATTCTAGATGAAAAGTCAACTTCAAAAAAATCAGCATACATTATAAACCAATTACAAAAGCAGCAACTTATGCAAGCAAAAATCTCTCTATTATTTCACTTAGATGCAAAACCAAACAAGCCAAATCATATGAGTTCACAATATTTCACTAAGAAACAAGTGTTCCATGTCATCGATTTACTTACGGCACACATGCATTTTGCTCTAGTGTTCCTATATATGAACAGAAAGCATTCATTTCACTTTATATCAATTTGGGTTTGTTCCCTACTTAAGAACCACAGCACTTTGGCTCTATTGCACGTTTTACTAAGAAAATGAAATTTCCATTTGACAGCAGAACTTAAAATCCCTACTGAATTTAACTTGACCCAACTATTTGGCTAAGTTGAGAGCACTACAAAATGAACACATGTGGTTTATCTCTATTTTAGTCTCTACACTTCGAAATTTGCTTCCAAAATGATTAAAGAATGAGCAAAAATCAACAAATTACCTCGGTCCACAACAAGTAGCAAGCGAAGAAACCCTTGAATTACTCCTTGGAAGTGCCCCTTGAGATTCAAGCTCACTAATTATCCCTTGCACAACCTAACATTTCAACCAAAAATAAATAAATAAATAAAAACAAAAAAAGGCTCAAAATTTAATCAAATTATAACTAATCAAAACACAAAACCAAAATCTAAGCTTAGAAAACCTGGAGACTGAGCAAAACTCAATCAAATCAAAACTAATCAAAAAGTAAAAACAAAAAACTAACCTTACGAAAATCCCGTGACTGAGCGGAATCAAAAATCGGCCACACCTTATCAAAATCCTGACAAGATCGATCGCAAAAAGAAATGATCAACAAAAACATATACATACAAGGAACATTGTATCCATAGATTTTAAAAAGGAGCAAATGAAAAACTTACTTTGGCGGATTGAGCAGGACCGCGAAGAGAGGACAGGATAAAGTAAAGAAGCTGTTCACCAAGTTTAGGGTTAGAGTGACGGAAAAGTCCGACCCGAGGAGTACCATTTGATGAAGGTCCAAGTCCGATTATGTTCGGATCCAGACCTAATAACAAACAGTTTGTGTACATTGCACTCTCTAACTCTATCTCCCTCTCCTTCTCTCTGTCCATTGTCATCTACAATCTGCCTTCCACTCTCTCCCTCTAGATTTCTAATTTCTGCTTTTCTCTCTCTCTTCTTTCGCTTCTCTTCTATTCTTTCTGGTTGGTTTTTTGGTTTTTCGATTTTTTTAAAAAATATTTTATTATTTCTCGACTTAGAGGTTTTTTTCTTTTTTGAATTGAAAGGTCCTGGAGGAGTTGTTTATTTATGAAACGAAGCTCAAGAAAGGGGGAAATGTTGCGATTTTTGGAAAAGCGAAAGGGTGTTTTGGAAATTTTATATTATTCGTTTTTTCTCGAAACGGGACCCGGAGGGATAAAGGAGGTCACGTTTGGGAGAGAATTTGAAATGGACAGTGCAGGAGGGGAGGGCTGACTTGCTCTGTCTGATTATCAATTAACTGAAATGGTGCTGCTGCTCCCTGGCCCCTTGGCCGGCAAACTTCGAATCGTTTGTGTCGTCATTTCGTTGCCTTGTTTCGTAGACTAAAGGGGACAAATTAAGATTTTAGGGCACAACGCAGAATAAGGTCTTGCCTATAATTATTTTGATTAAAATTTTGATTTTTCTATTGATTGAAATATTTTATACTTTATTTTGTTTTATTCAAATTTTTTTATCATCATCATACTGTTAGTTGTGATTTGATGTGGCACTCGTATGGTGATGACCTTGTGCATTTACTTTTAATACATGATATATGTCATATGTTGAATCTCAATTTAAAAAAAAATAATAATAATGTATAGATGCTTGATAGTATAAATTTAAAAAATAAGAACCAAAATATTTTTTATGAAACTTTAAGAATTAAAAAATTATAAATAAAGATTTAAACTATAAAAAATATTAATTTTAAGGACCAAAGTAACTTTTTAAAAACAAGGACTAAGATGAAATCTTTTGATAAATTATTTTTAGTACATATTAAAGAGGCAATAAATAAGTGGGCATTAAAAAGTAAAAAATTATAAATATTTGACCAATTTAAAGTGAAAAACAGGATTGGTCTCTCGGGACAAAACTAGGTCTACACCCCATTTTTTTATTTAATATAGATAATTAACTACTAATTAGAATTACTATTGTTTTTATTTTAATTTTGACAAACATATTTGTACTTTAAAAAAAATTAATTGCATATTAGGTTTTTTTATGTATTTTATTTTTTTAAAATCACTATAATATTTTCTTTAAAAAAATTACTTTTCGAGTTTTACTATAATGGAGTTTCACATATAACAAATTTTACCATATTTAAGATGAGGTCTTAAAAACACAATAATATGAAAGTTAAAAAAAGAAACATAATAATTTGATCCTTGTAATTTTTGAATTGTTTTGATCGAGTCTCATACTTTTTGAATCGTTTTAATTGAATCTTTTTAATGAGATCTCGCATATAAAACCTATAATGCATTTAAAAATAGATTCGTCATGTTCGTGTCACGTTAGTTCATAACTAATGGTATTATAACAAATAGTCTCAAACAACATAAAATAAAATATAAAAAAAAAAAAGATGTAACCCCCACAAAAATCTTTAATAAGACATATATATATATACTTGGAATATTCACGTAAATATACATTAAATACGAGTGCAATTGTAGGTATCATTTTAACTATTTGGTGATGATGGTTAATTAGTACTTATGTGGAAATTTTGGGGCACTTATGTGAGAATTTTGAGATGAAGTTTCAAACAAATTAATTAATTACCACTCATTATATATTAAGTATTTGGGAGATATTATACAAGGGAAATAGAGGTGTGTATAAAATTTTCAGAATATAGGAATATTTTCCTTGAAAACATCAAAATGGAAGGGAAGAGAATTTCCGAGCTTAAAGGGGGAATTTATGAAAATCTATGAAGGAAATATGTTAGTTACTTGAAGCTAAGTTAATTAGGGTATTTAATTAGTCTAATCCCTTAGTTAGGACACCTAAGCCATTTCATTAAATGCAAGAGAGCTAGCTCACCTAACTTGCACACAAACTCGCCACCTTCACCATGACTCACCAAGTTACTTTACACTTTGCCTAATTAATTTAAGACACATATAGACCTATTTAATGCAAGAAAATGGAAGACTCATATATATAGAGAAAGAGAGGGAATGGCAAATATTTTGAAAAAACTAGTAGTTGTCAAAGGAGAGAAGAAAAAAACCAAGTATGAGGAAGAGAAAAACGGTAAAGAAAGAGAGAAAAGAGAGGAAAGAAAGAGAGAAAAGAGAGGAAGGAAAGAGAGAAGGGAAAAGAAAGGAAAAGGGAAGAAAAGCTAAGGGAACCTAACCTCATCCAAACTAGGTAAGTGGGTTTTTGTTTATGTCATTTATTTGATCCTTCCATGAAAATTGATATACTTGCTTAAGCTTCCAATTATGTTGTTTTGGTCTTGTTATGCTTGGTTGGTATATGATTATTTGTTATTATGGAATATCTATGTAAGTAAGTTCTTTAATGCTTCATGTCATTCAATTGATGTTATTGTAATTGATTAAGTTGTGTATAGGTGGTGAGGTGTTTGTTGGCTTAGTTACGTTGGTTAGGTCGTATGGTTGATCAAAACATGATGAGCGAACTTGGGACTTGTATAGGCATGAATAAAATGGAGTAGGAAGGAAAGAAAAATGAAAATTTAGGGTTTTCTTGAGCAAACATTAAGTCGGAGAGTTACACGGCCTCTCACACGGGCGTGTCTTTGCCCGTGTAATGAAGAAATGTATTTTTCTTAAAGTCGGAGAGTTACACGGCCTATCACACGGGTGTGTCTTTGCTCGTGTAATGAAGAAATGTATTTTTCTTGAAGCCAAAGAGTTACACGGCCTACCACACATACGGCCTACCACACGGATGTCTCTTTGCCCGTGTAATAAAGAAATGTATTTTTCTTGAAGTCGGAAAGTTACACGACCTCCCACACGGGCGTGCCTTTTCCCATGTAATGAAAAAATGTATTTTTTTCTTGAAGTCGAAGAGTTACACGATCTCCCACACTCGGCGTGTCTTTTTTCGTGTAATGAAGAAAGGTGATTTTTCGTGTGGGAGGGCGTGTCTTTGCCCGTGTAATTCACTCGATCACTCAAAATTCATCACTTTTACTTCATACTTACTTAGTTTTCGTTCCTTTTCACCAAGATAACGTAATTAATGATCAATTAAGCTCAAATAGATATAAAATGAAAATAGAAAAATATACCTTAAAATGAGTAAAAATGGGTTTAAATGCTAATAATTATTCGAGTCATAGTGGAACAAATTAATGATTAAAATTATGATAGGAAACAAAAGGAAAGTACCCACATACATAATTAGACCCATGACTAAATCAATACCATTCGCCAGTTCTTAATTTTAACAAAGAAAAACATGACGATAAGAGATATGAGCATGCCCAAAACCTCGTGTGGGTTGGACCTATGAAAATATATGAAGTCGGATCCTATATGGGTTGGATATGTTTAATATGGTACGCATAACATCACGTGCATCATGTGCATTGTGGGGTAAATGGAGAAAAGTCAATTGAATGAGAATTGGTTTACATGATTAGATTTAGTAACCTAACAAGAAAAATAGGTATTAGCAGTCAACTGTGTGCGTACTCTAAGTCGTGTGCTTACACTCGTTAAGCGATGGATTCCCGCGAACAGTGGCTACAACGAGGGATAATTCCATTGTAGCGAGAAGATGATTTGATAATCACCTGGATTAAAAATAGAGTAAACTAGCAAATACCCAAGGTACCGGAATTAAAATTGATAAGTATGGTGGGAAGTTAGAAAAGCATTACATATCACATACATCACCCCACTTACTAAGCTTCGACTCACCTCGTCGTTATTTTTATGATGTGATAGGAAAAGGATAAAATAATAAGGATGCGATCGACTCCTCCGAAGAGGCTCATGTGTAACACGGAATGCTGAAACTGGTTTTGTCTATAATTTAGAGGTATGGAATCTATACGGAATCAACCGCTATTTGTAATATTTTGTTACCGTAATTAGTTATTTCATGTAAAATTTTACTATATGCAATTTTGTTATGTAATGTCTTGTTAATTTCTTAAGTACATCGTACAAGATTTGATTAGGGTCTAGGTAATGTCGGCGTAACGTGCCTTGCCTAGTCGCTTCTATTTAGGTAATAAACAAGTGGACCGAGGTTGGGGCGTCACAAAAGATTTCAATCAACATAACAATAATACAAATCTCAATTAAAATAATTCAAAAAATGAAAAATCTAGATATAAACAAAACTCATTTAGGATATAATAATAACAATAATTTAGGATACAAGAGCTTGAGATGTCAACAAGCTATCGATCCAACAATCGACCATCTTGTATAACTCAACATAAAGGTTGGATTGGATTACCAATCATGTGATGATGGCAATGCTACTTTCTATGATCTCGTTCTCAAATATATTTCGAATTTTGAATTCAATAAAATATGGTAAATATCCTTCTAAATGTATAGTCGTTATGAAAATAATTTTGATTTCAATATAAAATGGTAAATATCCTTGTAAATGTATGTAGGTGTTAGGAATGCAATGTATCCTACTGAGAGTATAAATAATAATAATAGACAATCAAATTTGTACTATGAGGAGAAAAATTACAAAAGAAACTAAGTTAGGTGATGGTTTCCTATTCTAACATTGCTCGGATACACTCATTAATACTATGGACTCGACCCTCATGCATTGTTCTCCTCCCTTTCCACCCCGTTAGTTGTCCGTCTATCCTTTGCTCTCTCTCTTTGTCATTCATTTCCTCTCTTTCTTTCATTTGTATTATTTTTTTATGCTTAATTGATTATGGTCTCACTAAGTTTGTTTATGTCTTTTAGCTATTCTATTTTTTCCTTTATTTCATCTATTTCGTCCATTTCTTAATCATTTTTTTCTCTTTTTCAATTGTCAATTTAAAACCCTTATATTGATGGCTTAATTGCTATAATGCAACTTAATGGTGTTATATAGTGATACC